AGCCTGTGTGTGCCTCAGAGTGGGCCCCAGCTCCTGCTGTTACCTGTGCCAGGATACTGGTTCCCCGAAGTGAAGCTGTTACCACTTTCTGTACCGTGGAGATTTAAAGAAGTATAATACCCAACTAAATGACTAGTAATCATCTCATGAAATGCAGAATATACAGGTAATCCCAGAGTCTTAATATATACGTTATTTAGACGCGTGGCATTTCTGGATTAAGTAGCTGTTGTCCCTAAATCCATAAATATGAACAAAATTAAAATGCAATGTACCAAAACGTGAGTTAGCATGTTAACAAGCAGAAACAACAAACTCTTATCCATGTAAAATTTTCTGGGAGCTTGCCATTGACCTTTACTGGACCCCAACGTTCACCAGTTAGCTTCTTTTCTTACTGTTTTTAGGAATTCTTATCAGAAAGTGAGAATGGGCAACAAAAACTAAACGTGGTAGCATCCAAAGGAGAACTGCTGTGCTCTGTTTTACCAAAGGAAAAAGCTAAAGTTATCCGGGACAAATCTGCTGCTGCTAAAGAAGATTGGAAAAATTTTATCACCATCCTCCACCAGAAGGAATCTGGACTGGAGGTACTGAACCAGTCACAGTGGGGAAAGATTGGATCTAAATTTCCTCTTTGCTTTTTGTTTCAAACAGCATAGTTTAGATTTCATATATAGCTGTAAGTTTTTATGATGTGACAGAACTAATAAATAGCTGTTTTCAAGAAGTCTCATTCTTCCACTTAACATTTTACTGTTTGTTTGCTTATATCCTTACGACCTGATTCCACTTTAAGTGGGGTGTTTCATGCAGAAGGGTGTTGTTCAGAATAACTGAAGGTAGCAAAGACAGCAGTTGCTCGAATACATTAATATGAGGCTCATCAAATGTACTGGATTACTAATACACATTTTTTTTTTAAAGACTGTTTTCGCACAGATTTCTGACACTGTTGCTGATTGAGTAGTCCCACTACAGTGGGTAAATATTGCCTCTCTTATTGCAAACTGGTGAAATGTAATGATCTCTTTGAGCAACTTTTTAAATAAACTCCAGTGCCTTTCTCTGTTCAGAACTCACAATTCAACCAGCACGGAAGGTGAATATCTTAAAAACATAATCTCTTTTAAGGTCATAGGTTTTAAGGTCAAAAGGTCTTAGCTGGAATTCCCTGCATAGTGTAGGAGAATTCAAGTTCCTAGGCATTCACCAATGCTGCCTAGTCAGCTGAGAAAAAGTTTAAATACATTTAATACATTGTGCAGGAAAGCCTTTCAAAAAAACATTCTCACGTAGCAAGGACTTACCTTTCTTTGTTTCAGGGTTGCCATGGAAAGAAGATGTCCTTTATCTTTTTGAGCCAAGCATTTTTCAGTCTCATAAGTGTAGTTTTTTCATGATGTTTGATTTAAGTGATAAGGCTATAGCTAAAAAGAAAACTAAATCAGTCTGGGGGAAAAGAATAAAAATAACTAGGGTACAGGAACTATGCTGTTCAGGTTTCTATTCCATATGAATTATTTCAGATGCTCTTTTTTTTTTTTTTTTAAATGATGCAGAATAAGCCTACAAGAAAAATATGCAGGCACTGAAGAAATGCCTGCATATGCCTTTATGCACATATTTTTATAACCAGAATTTTACACTAAAAAAGAACATAATCAGAAATGATCCCCAGGATTGGGTTGAACTTAGTCATACATCACTTAGGAATAGTGGCAGCCTGTTTAAGGAGGGGTCAGTGTGAATAGCTGCAGTCAGATGTTAGGTAACTCTTATCCCAACTTAGCTTTTCTTCAGACTGCCTTAGCTGTGTGAGTTAGATTTACAGTGAGTCAAAGCTCATAAGATCTGTAAAGCTTTCAGTTGAGAGGAACTTTGCTTCAGCCTCCCCTCAACTGTGTAGACATATCCTACACTGTTGCCTCTATTTTGCCTCTTTAAGAGATGCTCTCAGACTTTTCTTTCAGTGTCTGTCTGTGGGATGGGAAGGAGCAGAGCTGGTGTAATTTATTTTGAAGAGTTGTGTAGTGTTTGGCTGCAATTGTATATCCTTTTTGTGTGCTTGATCTGTGTTGTGCATTACAGTTATGCCCAGTGCATGGGACTGTTGATAAAATTGTGCATGTTTTCCCAGAACTTAAAGATCCAGATGAAGGACTTTGAAGTAACTGCTGAACACCTAACTGCTGAGCCCCTGCAGGAGTGGCTGTCCACAACTGAGAAGATGGTACAAGGAAGTAGCAGTCGGCTCCATGATCTTCCTTCCAAGAGGAGAGAACAGCAAAAGTTGCAGGTGACTTCTTATAAACCTTTGTGACATAGCCAGACTTTCCTGTCCTATCCTTCTGGCCTCATTGAGTCTTTACAAAAGCTTGATCATTCTAGCATCCTGACCTCTAAATAAGATGAGAACTGGGTTCAAGGGTTGCTGTTGATGGTCCTGTTCCATCAGGTTGTGCATCTCCACATTTCTTATGACATGCTGCTTCATTGCTGTAGCCATATGCTGTGTCTTTCTCAGCAAGCTTGCCATATGTCACTTTTCATGTGGCCTTCATGCTTCTCTATTTCCTGCTTTTTTGCACCCACTCTTAATATTAACGTGCTTGTGCTTTACAGTCTGTCCTTGAGGAAATAAGCTGCCACGAGCATCAGCTCAACAGGCTGAAAGAGAAAGCTCAGCAGCTGTGGGAAGAGCAAGCTGTCAGCAAAAGCTTTATGCGCAGAGTGTCTCAGTTGTCTTCTCAATATCTTACTCTAAGCAATCTGACAAAGGTAATGCACTTAGTGTATGTGCTTTTAAGCAGTTCACTTCATATGTGTGGGGAAAAAGAAAGACTGAAATGTGAAACACTGTAGTTGTCTTGCTTGTCTGCTCTGTGGTATGTCTGAGCTATCTTGTCTTTCACGCTGGCTTTAAAGAGTGGGAAGTAAGGACCTGGATAAGTCCATGGACTGTCAACAATTTTTTTTTTTTTAAATTATTTTTAAATGTGTTTTGATTAAAAAGTAAACCCCACCTGATTATACAATGATCAGGTTTGATTTTGATTATTTCAAACATTGAAGACATTTGTTTCTGTAATAAGTGGCACCTGAAACTTAGGGGAGGGTTTGTGGTTTGGTGGTTTGGGTTTGTTTGTTTGTTTTTTTTTTTTCAGAAAATACAGAAAAGTTATTACTTCATTGCATCCTATAATGATAATTAATTGTTTACATTGTTAGCGTCTTCATCTAAAACTAATAGATTGGTCTTCTACAAAAATTACCTCTTAGGCTGCTTTTGAAGGTTCAAGGGGAGGCATAGGCCAAAGTCTAAAGCATCAGGCTAAGAACTGAGAGGTTAACCTAACTGTTTTGCTGAGTGGTGCTTGACACACTTCACCATCTACTATCTCTGTTGTGTAAACGGATAAGAAGGTCTTCGTTTTAGGACTGGTATTTTTCACAAAGTTCCAGTCATGAAGGAGGGGCTTGATATTGAATTAGGCTTATAATTACTACAGTAATGAAAATAATTAAGGATATAGGAAGCGTGTTACGGGATAACAATGCAATTCAGAAAGTATTTATGTTTGGACAATTGCTAGTTTGTTAATCTCTACTTTTTCTGTGGAAATAAAAATTATGAAGCATATCTAGAGCTGTATGACTTACTGAAAATTATTGTATACATGGCCATAATAAATTTTCATGACTACAAAATGAGAAGGGGAAAGATGCATGAGTAACTAACATTGGCTTATGTGGACAGAACTTGTAGGAGATGTCAGGATAAGAAGAAGGAATCTGAGGCAGAGGATACGTATAATTCAGCCTGTGAGAGAAATCCTGAAATTCTTTGGATACCCATGAATGCTTGAGCAAGATCCCTCTCTGTAACTTCCTAAGCCCTTTTCACTGGCTTGACTTTAGTTCTCTGTCATAGTATGAAATACACTCCGCTCTGTATTCCTGTTCACCTCAGACCTTTTAGCAATGTGACTTGAACATTTATTTTTGATTCGTGTGAGTGTCAGTAATTTTTCAGAAGAATGGTTATACCAATGGGAGTCATTGAAGAAAACAGGTCTTTCTTTTCCAAGTTTCAACAAAGTAATTTTGCTGCTGTGGCATAGCTTCACAGGTTTAACTCTGTCTTGTGCTTTGACAGATTTCACAAGTTTTCTTCAGCTGCAACACTGAAATGGAGTTTAGGTGTGATTTACCAGTTGTTTAAGAAAAAGTGGGACCAGAAAACTCTCATCTACTTTGGATGAGAGGAGACAATTAGGTGAAGCTTTACGTTTAGAAAAAAAAAAAAAGGCATTTCTGAAATTTTCATTTGTATATTGTTTGGACAACTTTGTGTTTGCGTGTGTGTGTGCAAAATTCATTCTATGCTCAAGTAAGTGTACTTGTAATTATCAATGTATGAAGAGAATTTCTGAGTATAGTTTATGAAGCTCATTCTGAAGTCTGCAAGTAGGTATGGGGAATAAACAATCCTTTGAATAGCTACTGGTGCTAATTGCTTTGTGAATTGCAGGAGAAAGTTTCCAGAATGGATAGGGTCGTAGCAGAGCACCAGCAGTTCTTGCACAGTGTCAAGGACCTCCAGGACTGGGTGGCCGATGCAGTTCACATGCTGGATTCCTACTCTCATCCCACTGCGGACAAGAGTGTTCTGGACAGCCGGATGTTAAAGCTAGAGGTATGGAAACAATAGATTCCAAATCCTGCTCTTTTTAGATCTGCAAGAATGCAAATACAGGATACTTTATGTTAGTTGTTGCATATTAGCGTAATGACTGTTGTTCACACTGATTTTCAATTTACTCAAAAATAACACTTTTTATAAAGGAAAGAGCTCGTTATTAGAAGTTTTCTCTAAGAAGGATATAGGGACCTTTATGACATGGAAAACTGCATACATGCAAATTCTTAAAAAAAACCTCAAAAGATGTGTGGCTGCTAAAGGTTAAATGGAAGAAGTAGGATATTCACTTCTGTTAGTTTCATATAATATTTCCTAGATCTTACAGGTGATATGGATGATTCAGGACAATTTTTTCTATAATTGTTTGCTTTAAAAATGGTGACTACAGTTAAGAAAATAGCATCTGTTGATATCACTGCACAAAAGATATTGAAGAGCAGTACTCAGAAAACAATACTTTTCATATTATTGATGTCTCAAATTTTGAGCCATGGCCAAAACATGGACAAGCCCTCAAAATTATAAGGATACGTCAAAAAGCAAGAGATTGTAGCAAAATACTAAAATTATGTTTTGCCTTTTGTTCTTTGAGTCTTTCAGGTTCATGCTTTCAGGTTTTTCATGACTTTGCATAGTGTTAGAAGATGTTAGTTTGCAACTGCGCAGCTCCAGGAGCTGGAGTCTTTAAGCTGACGTTGCTGATAGTCTGCTGAGTTTATATGTTTGTACCTTTGTGCTGCAAATAGACTGTAGAGTTGTAGAACTGTATTTCAGCCCTGTAGAAGAGCTTTGTCATCACATCTTGTTTCCTCTATGAATAAATCCTCCTGTTTTCCATCTAAATGACATTCCCTTTGGAATGTCAGCTTTTCCACCCAACAGTACCTCCTCTGATACACTGTAAGTACCTGCACAGATTCCATGAAAACTTCCCTGTCAACTAAGATTTTTTATTTAAATGACCTAAACCTACCTTTTAAAAGTCACTTTTTCCTTGTGAAGCCCAGCTGTGAACCCCACTGTCCCTTTTCTAATTGACTGTTTGTACAAGCTGCTAAATTTGATCAGCTCATTTTCCAGTAAAGCCAGTTAGTATGTTCATGCCCAGTTAATGATAAAAATAGAATAATATCCACTCACTTTTTAGGGACTGCTAGCAGTGAAACAAGAAAAAGAAATCCAAATGAAAATGGTTCTGACAAGAGGAGAATCTGTTCTGCAAAATACTTCTCTGGAGGGAGTACCAGTGATTGAACAGCAGTTGCAAACCCTGAAGGACAGCTGGGCTTCTCTTCTGTCTGCTTGTATCCAGTGCAAGAGGTAAAATGGGTATGAGGTGCAGAACGGTGCTTAGCAATAAAGTACTGTCAGAATTTTTGAAAAGTTAATTCCCAGACTTCTATTATTACAAGAGTCAAATTCATATAAAATGACTGCATGTGCCTAACATTACAGGTCTAGTAGCCTTAAGTGACATATTCAATTGAAGTAGAAAAAAGGGGAAGAAACTGTGAGAGATCTGAGCTGTGTTAACACTTATTTTCAATATACTCTTAAAAGTAGATTCCATGTTCATAATCTTGTTGTAAATTTTACTTTGAGTTGCACTTGATGCCTTGAGTTCTCAGAAATTAGATCTTGTTACTGACATTAATCTATCAAGATCCTGTCTGATTTTCCACTTTCTAGCATTTCACAGAAGGTACTGTAATTACAGTGTCCAATAGTGATTCTCAAAGTAATAGAATAAAGAAATACAGAGGAAAAAAATGCAGCCTTCTTTGATGCAGTATCACTAGTTGCAAATATTTCAGTTTAAAACAACAAAGGTAATTAAGCGTTAGAATGCAGCAACTTTTGAATGTATGCAAAGGGACAGAAAATTTCTGATTCTGGATCTTACGGTTTTAGTTGCATTATATTTACTAAGGCTAGAACATGTCAGCTAGCTACATAACTTACAGACCTCCCTGATATTCTAAGTTTGGAAAATTTATTTCTCTTTATCAGCCAAACAGTGCTCCTAGTTAAAACCTGTAGGTTTTTAACAGTTCTGTCTCAGACTGCTTAGCTTGTGATACATCCTTCTTACAAATATAGTCTAGAATAACTGTATGTGACAATATCTCACCACTTAAATAGCATGAGAACCTTCACTATCACATCAAATATGTATTTTTAAATTACAGTCAACTGGAAGGAGCTCTCTCCAAATGGACAAGTTACCAGGATGATGTTCGTCAGTTTTCCAGCTGGATGGATAAAGTAGAAGCAAGTATGAATGCTTCTGAAAGGCAATATGCTGAACTAAGGGAAAAAACAGCTGCCCTCAGCAAAGCAAAGGTGTGTTTGCTTTCAAACAAACCAGGAACAAGCCCATATCACCTTATAAGCAACAAAAAAGGCTGAAAAACTGCAAGATTAGTCTATGGTCTTGTTTCAATGCTGCCCATTCATAAATGCGTTCTCTTTCTGTTTTGCAGTTACTCAATGAAGAGGTGTTGAGTCACAGCAGCCTGTTGGAGACGATTGAAGTGAAAGGAAGCGGGATGACTGAGCATTATGTCACTCAACTTGAACTCCAGGACCTTCAGGAGCGGTATAAGTTCCTCAAAGACAGAACGAGGGTACAGTTTTTCTTGATAGCACTCAGTCTTGTTTTGTTGGCAACGAGGAAAAAGAGGAAGTCTTTTCATTGATCACTTATTTTACAGTTAAATGAGGAGTAAAAGTTTGGGGACAGGTGTAACAATGCAACAGAAAGTTATTAGTATGATTTATCAATCTGTCTTCCTGTACCACTGAGCTTCAGATCTTTTCAGAAAGGTTCTAAAAATCTGAATCTGAAAAAATCATCAGGTGAATAGTCTGAGGAATTCCATGTCAAAAGTCTCATTGACTTCAGCGCAGATACGATTTTACCCATTGTGACTGAGAAGTTGGAAGCATCTCTGAATCTGTGATTTGCATAAATGTATGTTTTGCAATAAATGCAACCAGTCAATCAGGTAATTCACAAATGGTTGACAGCTTTAGAAGCTTACTATTGAACGCAAATCTTATTAGCAAGTAAACTGACTCTAATGTGAAAAGGCCCAGCATGATATGTACTACATTTACTGATAAGTGTTAATATCAGAGATCTGGAAAAGATTAGGGCATAGACAGATAAAGACCAAGATGCGTTTTAATGTAAGATATAAGATAAAGAAGAAATAATAAAAGACTTGGTGATACATTTAAAGCTAGGTGTTTATCTCCAGTTAATCCAAATTCATCTGCGGTAATTAAATAAAACCTGATGTATGCTCAGACAGGCAGCTTTTGTTCATGACAGCAGTGTAGTAAAATTGAATTTTGTTGTCTCAATGTCCTGTGGGAAGGGCCAAAATTCAGTTTTTCAAATGCATAAGTGATTGGCTGTTTTGTGGTACTCTTCCACAACTGCAAAGAATGCAATGCGCTGTCTTTCTTTGGACCTTCTGTGAGTAAACTCACTCAGGTTTGCCAGAGAGATCAGTAAGTCCTGGGAAGTGCTAGTGAATAACTAGTATTCTTTTCAGCATGGGGATCCTCTAAGCTTTACGTTTTTCTCTTGCACAAAGCTGTACAGGCTGCCTGTATTTGCCCAGCTTGAGCAACAGCATGGAAACAACAAGAAATGGATGGTAGTTCACAGAGGCAAGAGCTCTGTACCTCTTTCCTCATGTAGGAGAAGTATCCCTTCTTTCTCTTCCCACTTAATGCCCCAGATGACTTTGGTCTTCCCCACTCCCAAACTGTGGTGATGATGTTAAGTGTCAAGAGTAATTTCAACCCTTAGAAAGAAATTCAAAGTTCAAAGCAAGTAGCTGGAAAGTAAAGAATGGTCAAACCCTTCAATAATCCTTTGGCCAGGTGGAAAACCTGATAAGATTTCACAAGGGTTTGTGGCCCAAGCGTGAGCAGATCAAGACCTGTAACTCCCTGCAGCCACTGCCAAGAAGCAAGAGAACTAGTCTCTCTTTC